CGCGTAGCGAGGCTTTGTCCTACCCAGACCGACCTAATCTCTTGGCGCTACCAGTCAATACCCTACAAGCTATGCCTCTCGAGTATCAACGGCAGGCATAATCCAGCCCTATGCAGGGACTTACCGGAAAAGTGTACACGTGTCTTGGACTAGGAAAATTCTGCTCTGTTATCTTCTGGGAGCCTTTTCGGCTCCCCTTCTTTAATCCTATGCTTCTCATACAAATATCTAGTGAAATGTAGTCGTTTCGGATCTCTACCGACCCTTCCGCTGGGTTCAGGCGACCGTTGAGCTCAGCGGCTATCCGGATAGCATCATCCGGACAGATCGCCGAGTACTTACCGTGATCCTTTGTTCCTAAGCTCTGGGTTATCAGACCGAGGCGATTCTTGATCTAAAGTAGGTTGGCGTATGGTCGAATCTGGAAATCCCTACACCACAACTGCCCCGGTTATGATACGAGCCGAGCTGGTGAGTGTCTTTCCTTCATTTGGTTCTGCCACCGTTGGTCCATACTCGGCTGATGACGTCTCGCGGCTCTCCACCACCTTCTTCGGTACGTTTGTTGCTTCCGCTGTCACTCCCTTGGCAGCTCCTTACTCCTCGCATGTTACTCCAGCACAACTCACGGCGCCATCCTTCTTCTCCAACTTCTCGTCGAGGTGAAGGCGTGCCAGCTGAGTCGATTCCTCGACCCGTCGGTACTCGTGGGGTCAGCGACCGGCCTGAGGCTAGGTTGGTCGACCTGACAACTTCTCATGAGTCTGACGCGGAGTCGGCGGGATCTTCTCGCGTACGGCTTCCTGTTCCACCGAGCTTGCCGGGCGCCACCACTTCGGGCGCCACCAGTCAGCCAAGCTCGGCTGCTCCAGTGAGGCTTGACTCCCTCATGGCCAGAGTTAACGAGCAAGGGTATGAGCGCCGAGAAGAATTGACCTTCTTGGCGAGGCTCATGGCTTACGGATTTACTCGTTCCGTGGAGCCTTCCGATCCCGTGCAGCGGCGAGCGATCTTGCATGCTGCTTCCGCGGGGGAACTGTTGGATATCTTGAAAGGCAACTACGCCGCACTTGATTATCCCCAGATCATCGGCGATCTCCGAGCTGACAATCAAGCTGTACGGGAGGAGAACCGCGCACTGACTCGGCGACTGGACTTGCTTGCTCTCAGCAACGTCGACTTGTCAACTCAGCTCTCGTCGGCTCAACAGCAAGTGTCTCGATTGGAGGCTGCTGCCACGCAATCGGCTAATCTCCTCGCGTCGCTGCGAAAGGCTGTAGCTCTGAGTGAGGCAAAACTTGCTCGGGCCATCGCAGCTGAGCAGAGCAAGGTTGACGCTGCGTTGGGTCAGGCCCAGCTCCATCATCAGCAAGTCTTGGATCGGGACGCTCGTGCCTCGCACAAAGTAATGTGTCACGAGGCAATGGTCTCTCCCGCGCGAACAGTGCAGCGGGGCTGCCATAGCTTTAGCGTCAGAGGAGGACGTTTGACTCAAAGAGTCACTAATATTAAGTTCCTTATCCGAAGGACACTTACAGCCCAAGACCAGGGCTCAAAGTTGATACCTTAACTTTTATGCTTCAAACCAGAAGTGTTTATTTACTCTTATTGCGGCCAAGCCGCCTAGGGGTAAATGTATCTGTTTAATTATCTAACATAGTTAAACCTAATCAAATGCATAACGTGTGGCTTTCAGCCAACGTACTGAGAGACCTTGTTAACTCTCCAACTTATGTACTGAGAGTATGTTAACTCTCCGGGTACTTCGTACCCCTGTGTGTTCCACACCATGTAACCCCGTTACACTCTCCCCCACTAAGATGAGAACATTCCGTTCTCGAAACTTTTCTCAGCGAGGTCACGTCTTGTTAAGACGGCGGAGGTTACTACACCTCACACCAGCGCTGTACAGCTCCGTAAGCCCACAAACGCCTACGCATCGTTGATGCCCAACTTCTCGTCGTCGGCCCACGGCCCAACGATTCCAAGCGCGGCGCGCATCTTGCTCTCAAGCGGTCTCAGACCTACGCTCGCGCTCCGCGCCTACTCCAAGAGTTGCAAACTGCTTAGAGCAATGCTCTTGACTCATTCGAGTCGTCGACAACAGCTCAGCGGTTGAACCCTCGCTTGACAAGGCGATAGGTCGGTGGGTCGAACCCACCAGGGCACAGCCCCTCTCGTTCCATGAACTGTGGTCCTTGAATGGACAAGCTTAAGGGCAACACCCCGTTTAGCATAATGGTTGAGCGTTGGCTTTGAGAGCCACATGTCGGTGGTTCGATCCCACCAGGGCACAGCCCTCTCGTTCCATGAACGATTGTCCACCGCTTGGGCAAGCTTTAAGGGCAACGCCCGTTTCAGCTGCAGTGGTCGGAGCGGTAGCTTTGGGAGCCACACGTCGGTGTTTCGAAACCCGCCAGGGGGACAGCCCTCTGCGTTCCATGAACGGATTGTCGACGCTTTAGGGCAACGTTAAAGGGCAACACCCCGTTTAACTTCAGTGACTCGAGCAGTTGTCTTTGAAAGCGCACCAGTCGGGTGGTTCCAATCCACCCCGG